TATGCACCCACGAGAAAGAAATCAGGAGTGGAGAGTCCCGAACATTCTGGCACCCTCTATCGTATATAAAGAATGCATCAGGAGCAACGGGACGTATTGCACATATCGCTCGACAGCTACTATGCCCTATTGAACCCTGCAAATACAGGACCGACTGGACGTAGGTGAGCAGTCTGGTGTCGTTTATCAAATACCATGTGATGGCTGTTCTTGCCATTATGCAGGGCAGATGGGAAGATACATTAACTTGCGAATAATGAAGCACAAATTGGAAGTGTGGAGACGTAGTCTTATATCTCAAATTGCTACCCACACACTGGAGGGAGGCTATGAATTAAATTTCACGAGCACGCGTATAATGGCGCGAGAACTGCTGGAGACTGCTGGTATCTGACGTATACTCCGTCAACAGATAAGTTGACGTACTCTCTTAAAATCGCGTTCTTCGTTTGCGAAGTCAAGAGACACAGCCAAGTTCTCAACCAAAGACGCACGCCGTCAGGACGCCAGGGCCTCGGCTGTATCAAGAATACCAAATCCCTTCCTCTTTGTCAAAAAAAACTGCTAAATTGTCGCTGCACACTCACAGTCTCTGAAGGTGGCCTCTGGTATGAGACCCAAAGCCCCTACAAATAAAAGTACTATCCCAGTTATCGTACGTTCATCTTCTTTGCAGAAAGCATAGTATCATGGCTCTTCAATAAATGGTGTACACTCCGCCTTGCTTTATGTCATTTGACGATACGAGAGAGCGCAAGGCTGCGAAGACACAAGTGCCAGTGAGATGTGGACCATACGCGGCGGCTTCGTCGGTATTGGCTGACTATGCACACGGAAAAATTGACGGTAGGAGTACCTCGTTGGACCGCCTGGGGAGAGCGCGAAACGCGCCCCTCGGTCTTACGGGCTCCAGATTTTAGAAGATAGAAACAAATTAGATAGCAATAATCCTGTAAAATAAAAATAAGTTACGGGGGTAAGTTGAGGCACGTACTCAAACCTCGGGTGGGGACACTGAAGTACGCTTTAATATCATCGCTAACCCCTCACCGGACCAACGGCGAGCATGTGTATGTAGGGGGAGTGTGCCCTACTCTCGGGCGAGGTCATTTAGGTACGTTTTCTAGTAGTACCACTCACCCCAACTTGAATGAAGGTTAACGAGGGCAGAAGTTGGAAATTTGTGGAAATTCGCCCTACTTAAAATTTGTAAGTAAGCGATTATTCCTGTAGTTAATTTGAAGAGCCATTTTTGCTTAATATACTGACTTAAGCGCTCATTGTATGCAGTGGCCTTCCGAGGACCCCTCTGTAGTCCAACGCCATCATCCAATCCATGTTGGTTCGATTGCTGGCGTGCAGAAAACTGTAAGATTGGGTAATTCAACCTACTTAAAATTTGTAACTGGGTGGTTATAGTACATAAGGACCATTCTGCGACCCCAGTAGGTACTCTTACGAAAGTGACATAGAATGAGAACCGTGATCCGGAGCGTTCTGTTTCTGAAGACGGTTGAAAGACACAGCCAACCAGAACGTCTGATATCTAATAAACCTCTCCTGGGAAACGCTCTTCCTTCTTCTGACTTACCACCTGGATATCGCATTTTCACTATTATCAGTATGACACGTGTTTCAGTTGGTAGTACAAAATCCACCTAGTCCTGCCTGTCAGTCTACCCTCTGCGTTCTCGCATTGTTTTAACGCATCCACAATTACTGGGCGCCAGAGAGGGCATTTTAAGAAGATTGGCCACGTACTGGCAGTTGCGTTTTCCACCAATCACAGCCACCTGAGCAGGCCAATCAAATTTGAGCTCGAGTCAGGTATGCTCCCGCTTAAAGCAGAGCTAAGAACCCCAACCCCAACCCCACTCTCGCTCTCACGAGACTCAGATTATCACGGGTCAGCAAT